TCTCTTTCTCTTTCTCTCTCATTTGTAGCACTGTGTGTTCAGTAACCTCACTGCAGTTGGTAAGAATGAATTTCTATATCTGTCTGCTCTTGCTTTTTTGGAAATGTATCATTTACTGCTAGTCGATAGTTGAAATTCCGATGTCAGTGGGTGGCTATGGGCACTAAGCACTATTTCCGCCTTTTTTTAAACGTTTGTCTTGTGCAGATATTCAGAGTTACTTAGGTCTCTACCAATCGTTCTTGATGCCTTTCTTATCAACTTGTTTATTTTTATAATGTGCTGCCTTCCCAAATTGCTACCATTGCAAGTGATATCAAAATTTGTCAAAGTTTCTATGGTGGTGGTGAAGAATATCTGAAGGATGGATGGATTCAGATTGAAAAACCTAAGTTTCTTTCGAAAGTACAAACTCTGATTTACCTTTTTAACGATATTGTTTACATGGTTTTGCCGTGTAAATTATGTTTCAATTGACCCAATTGAGATCATTTAGGAAATGTGCTTCTTCGAACTTCCATGTCTAAATCAACCCAGGGTTGGATACACCTCCATAGAAAGGCTGAGATTCTCAATAAGATATCTCCCCACCTCAGAATCGAACTCTGGTCCTTTGTTTATTAGGCAAACAGCCTAACCATTACTTTATGCTATTAAGAATCAGAAGTATGTACCATTTAGAACTGCTCAATGGCATCTGTGGTGTTGGTGTCAGGCTCTTTGTCATTACACGAAGATGATGTGACTTCATTTCGGGAGTTTAGAATTCATGTTATCATGCATCTCTGTCTCTAAGCTAGGAAGCTGCATGCATCTAGGGTTAGCCCTGACAGGTTCAAAACAGCCTGCCTGTTAGATGATCTAAATTGTGTCTATGTGGATGTAAAACATTTCCAATTTATTATTACAGAACTGTATGCTGTACGTTCAAAAATACACTTTGTGTACTTATCCTTTATCTCTGGGCGTCTTGTGCAGGGCATTGATGTGAAGTCCATGGGTCGAATCTTCATCGGCCTGGTCAAGTGTGGAGCCTGGGGATGTTTTGATGAGTTCAACCGTCTGGAGGAAGCCGTGTTGTCCGCCGTGTCTATGCAGATCCAGGTCATACAGGACGCCATCAAGGACAAGGCCAGATCTATAGAGCTGCTGGAGAGAAATGTGAGTGGAGTGTGTGAGGGGTTGTGTGTTAATAATCATGTCTTACTGAAGAAAAATGTGAGTGGAGTTTATGTGGGGAAGTGTGTAAGTGGTCTATGTCTTGTTTGTTTGTTTTAGTAGAGGTTTTACGACGCTCGCAACTGCATAAGGTCATATGAGCACCAAGGGGTGGATGTCAACTGAGAAGTCCTTACAGGGAATCAGACTTACTCTGCTCACCTGTCTAGCTTCAACTGGACAAAGTCTGCTTCGACTATCAAGGCACCCAGGAAATAGCGGGGCACAAGAGTGTGACAAATATACAAAAGAAGTAGAGGAAAATGATGATAGTAAGGGTTGGGAAAGATAAAGCAGCAGTTCCCTGTTGTAGTTAGGCACAGTTATGAGCATGACATTGTTGGATCAGCCCTTTTACAATTCTACTGTGTTTTTTTAACAAGAAATTTCCCCCCCTTTGAGAATGACCTAAAGACACTTCAGTCAGTGGCACCACCCCGGGGCGTGGTCTATGTCTTACTTGAGAGAAATGTGAGTGGAGTGTATGAGGGGTAGTGTGTAAATTAATCATCTATGTCTCACTGGAGAGAAATGTGAGTGGAGTGTGTGATGGATAGTGTGTAAGTAATCTATGTCTTACTGGAGAGAAATGTGAGTAGAGTGTGTGAGGGGTAGTGTGTAAATTAATGATCTATGTCTTACTTGAGAGACATGTGAGTGGAGTGTGTGAGGGGTAGTGTGTAAGTTTTCTTCTTTGCACTCCCCTGCTACATCTCGCAAACTCATGTTTTATTTTGTAATTTCACTTGTTGTTGCCTTTGTTTGTTTCTGTTTTTCTTTTTCTTTGTCTTTTTAAATGTTTTTCACCGTTATCGTGTCAGTGTGTTATGGTGTCATTGTGTAATTGTGTTAGTGTGCTATTGTGTAGGGGAAGTCAGCAGCTGGTTCTTCAAACTGCAGTGCAACAGATTTATGTGCATTCGACCATTTTTTACTACTTTTAGGGTCACTTGCCTTCAGGCAACCACTTTCCAATTTCTAAGATTCTCTGTATTTTATATACTACTAGAGTGTTTTCAGATTTGGTAGGAATTGATATATAAATTTTGCCTAGGTGGCTGAAGTCTACTTTTATTGATTTTAGGACCTCCAAGGGATCTTTAAGGTGGTGCTACAACTAATGCTTGAGATTATAGTACCTTTTTATGTGTAAGTTGCCCTTATGGTCTTTACAGTTTATTCGCAATAACATTAATAATGACACTAATATTTCTGATAACGCCCCCAGGTGAACATTGACCACAACTCTGGAATCTTCATCACCATGAACCCAGCTGGCAAAGGTTATGGAGGTCGCCAGAAACTTCCGGACAACTTGAAACAGCTGTTCCGCCCAGTGGCCATGTCAAAACCGGACAATGACCTTATCGCTGAGGTCATCCTGTTCTCTGAGGGTTTCAAACAGGCAAAGGCTCTCGGTCGGAAACTGGTCAGCATCTTTACCTTGTCAAAGTAAGTGGTCAAACCTTTGTGCTCATCTGTCTTAGTGAGTTGTCAAACATGTGTCCATCTGTCCTAGTAAGAGGTCAGTCTTGTGTGTCATTATGTCCTAGTGAGTGGTCAAATAGGTTTGTCAGTGTGTCCTAGTGAGTGGTCAAATGTTCATTGGTCTGTCCTAGTGAGTGGTCAAACTTGTTTGTGTGGGTGGTTTGTGGATGCTCTGGTGTGATTTGCTCTTTCTTTCCTATCAATCTTCTTTTTTGTGTTTGTTACTCCCTTGTAACACCTCTAATCTTCGGCACATATATGACCTTATTGTGTTGCAAGTGCTGTAAAACTTGAACATGTTTGTCTGTCTGCCCTGACCTCTCCTGACCTGTTATTCTGGCGACCTTTGCCCTATCCTCAGTGAGCTGCTGACCCCCCAACAACACTATGACTGGGGTCTGAGAGCCCTCAAGACTGTGCTGAGTGGCTGTGGGAACCTCCTACAGAACGCCAAGAAAGGTGACAACGGTAGGTTGAAGGACAGTGAAATGATAAAATAAGACATGAAAAAGTGAGATAGATAATATATGATAAGACAAGACAAGATCAGATGTACTTTTTTGAGCCTCTTTCTCAAGAAATTGACAGTGTGCTTTCACCAGCTTCTGGAACACAAAATAAAGATACATGGCATTATATCAACACTTCAAATTCTGTCTTTCTCTTTCTCACTCGTACACTCACTCACTCCCTCACTCGTAGACTCACTCCTTTCCTCACTCATATACTTGCTCCCTTGCTTTGTAGATACACATAACATGGTTACTCTGTGGACAAACACAAGGCATATACATAGAGAAAGAACGGCTTCATAAGGGCAAAATTACAAAGTTCCTGTACAACAAATATGCCCTTGGAGTTATTTCAATATGACTGGGTTGTAAAGAATTACCAATGAGGGGAGAAAAAGGAAGGTGCAAGGTCTCCACGGAAAAGAATTGTTGCTAAGTTTGAGTGTATTGATGCATTAATTTGTATGTGTTTGTTCCCAGGCAAAGTGGATGCTGGTCTAGAGGCCAAGCTGGCGGTCCAGGCACTGAGGATCAACACACTGTCCAAACTGACCTTCTCTGACAGTAAACGCTTCGACGCTCTGGTCAGGGATGTGTTCCCAGGGGTAGAGTTCAAGGACATTGAATATGAGTCTCTCGGTGCCGCCTTTAGAGAGGTCTGTGTGGAGAACAACTTGTTGGTCAATGAGAACCAGGTACGTTTGTCTGGTGTGTGTGTGTTTATGTGTCTGTGTTTGTGTGTGTGTGTGTGTTTCTGTGTGTGTTTCTGTGTGTATGTGTGTGGTAAGACAAGACAAGATAAGATATACTTTTTTGAACCTCCCTCCGTGCCCCCCCACCTCCATCCTCCCGTGAAAAAGCCCTTGAGCTGTATGATCACTTTACTACAGAGGAAGGGGCGTATGCGTATGTGTGTGTACTGTGTATCTATGGTTCAATGTGTGTCCCCTGTGCCCTGACAGTTAAGTATGTGTATTTGATTTTCCTTTTCTAGGTGAAGAAAGCCCTAGAACTGTATGAACAGTTACGCCAGCGTATGGGGGTGGTGGTCGTGGGACCCAGCGGCTCAGGGAAGACAACTCTGTGGAAGATTCTACGTCTGGCCATGATCAAACAAGGTCGTGAGGTCAAACAGTATGTCATGAACCCCAAGGCCATGCCACGTACACAGGTATGCAAGGACTGGATGCTTTAGATGAGAAAAAAACATACATGCGATGAGATAATATCAGATAAAATGAGATAAGATGAGATCAGGTAGGATAGAACAAGGTAGGATGAGATGAGATAGGATATAATAAGATAGATAAGATAAGAGAGGGTGGAATAAGATTGAAGATAAAATACACTTTACTGATCCTCAAGAGAAAGAAATTGACTGTGCGCTTTCACCAACTTCTGGGACACAAAGTATGCAATTATGGTGTCATATCAACCTAATACACTCTCGTTCTCACATACCCTCCCTCCTTCTCCCCTCTTCTTTGCTACTTACAACATAAAATAGCAACTCTATGGATTAACATGGGGCATATAAAATTAGACAATAGAATATGAGTTTTTACATAATTCATCAACAAGCAAACTGAGATGGAAATTTATATTCCCGTATATTTGTTCTCTTGTAGAACCAGGGACATTATTATATTTTCTATGTTTATGTTAGCTCTGGTTTACAAATTGCAAACATGAATAAGTCCATGTATGAAAAAGAGCATTAGCTTTTAATGATTTATACCCACTGCACACTGCAAATTGGATTCACTGATTTGAGTCGGGGCCAGCCAGATTTTCAATCATGGATAGAACAAAAACTACCATTTTGGTACAGTTGTGGATGGAAAAACCTGGCTAGCCCCAACTCAAAATGCATCCTAATTGCAGCGTGCACTTATTGAATTATTTCTAGTTCAGATGAGAATAGAAGAGACACACTTATATACAAACAGGACAGAGAAGAGACAACTGATTTTACATTTTTATCTGCTTTTTGTCCATCAGTTGCTGGGTCAGATTGACATGGACACTCGTGAGTGGACAGACGGAGTGTTGACCTACAGTGCCAGACAGGTGGTCAGAGAACCACAGGGTGAGTACAAAGGAGGGGGGGAGGGGGGGGGCGTATTGAATGTTGACCTGCAGTGCCAGACAGGTGTTCAGGAAGCATGAAAGTTAGTCAATTCATGGATGGGGAAAGGATGTGGGTTATTGGGTGGAAGGGAGGGGAAAGAGGCTCCGGATGGGAGGAGAAGGTGGGGGGGGGGAAGCGAGCGGCCGGGAGAAGGGGCTGGGAGCAAATGTGAAGAGAATGTTGACTTGCATGCTAGACAGTTGATCATGGAGTTTCAGGGTTAGTAAATTCACAGGGAGGGGCAGAGTATTGATTTGTATGACAGAGCTTTTACTGTGAGCTGATAGTCCTCACTGTTCCTCAAACATTAGATGAAGAAATGTGAGTGTACCTTGTTTCAACATTTTTTTTTTATCAGGGTAGATCAAAACGTGTTGTAGGATTTTGTATAGCTTTTGACTTTCAGTAGAAAACATCTTTTGTTATGTTATACCCTTTGTGAATTTGAATGTTGAATTTTAAATGGAAATATACCTTACCTGACTTTCTATTTAACAGAGGTACAGTCGTGGATTGTGTGTGATGGTGACATTGACCCTGAGTGGATCGAGTCGTTAAACTCGGTCCTTGATGACAACCGTCTGCTGACCATGCCCTCCGGGGAAAGAATTCAGTTTGGCCCCAACGTCAATTTCCTGTTTGAGACTCACGACCTCAGTTGTGCTTCTCCTGCCACCATCTCCCGCATGGGCATGATTTTCCTTAGGTGAGTCTAAGCAACGTTCTCACTCAATGAATCAAATTAAAATAAGAACAGTTGTAAAAGCAAAGAGAATAATGAGAACAGAAGCATCGATAGGGAAGAAGGATGTAAGTGCTGTGTAAGACAATTTTCGTTTGTTTTTGTTTTTTAAGTAATGATTTAAGACATGGTGAGAACTCCCCCCCCCCGCCCCCCCCAGTTTGCCAATGGTATCTTCCGTCATCACCCACAACTTTTCACTTTTCACTAACATCTGTTCCATATGCCCCCACCTCCTCCCCCCTCCCTCTTCCCCACCTTTGCCACCCCTCTGCCATCACCCACCGCCCACTGCCCTTCTTCTAGCGATGAGGATGTAGATGTGAAGGCACTGGTCAATGCTTGGCTCAAGACCCAGCCAGAGACTGACCAACAAATGTTGTCTGGCTGGATCGAGGACTACTTCTACCGTGGCATGCAGTGGGTGCGGAAACAGGTATGTGTCACTGTGGGCTTTACTTACACTTCATAGTGACATCATAGATTGTGCAATTTGGTTTGGTAATTTGTCTCTGTTTTAGAAAGGTCATAAGGGAAAGACATTTTCTCCCCCTACCCTCCATTTTGCATGACTGCTCCCTAAATTGTAGCAACATATATATCGTCGGTGTCCGACTCTAACCGTGCAAGCGCCAAATTAGGTCAAGTACCTTTTTTGGTCTAAAAATAAACCTCGAAGTCTTCCGAAACCACACAGGAAATTCCAAAACAATCGCATGATAAATTTGGCGCGAAATAGTCCTGTGATCTATTCTCACATGACAGAATCGTGCCGAACTTGGATTCTCTACCCGTGCATCCGCCGGTCGACAGACGGATGACAGAAACAACGATTTCTCACAAGTTTCAAGAGATTGTACCATCAAATGGTAAGTTATTTTGTTCAGGCTGAGTGTATTTAGCTGTAGATGTTAAAAATAAGCTTTAAAGGTAGTTTATAGCTGTATTTTTGGCGCATGCACATTTAGCACGGTCAAAACATTTCACAACACGATAGCTGGCTTCGTGCAAGTGGCGCTAAAACGCTTACTGTAGCAAGGTGCGGCCCGCTGGTGGCTGGTATGTGGCGCTTCCACGATTAGCGCCCAGTAGTTGTTACTGTGAACCTATTGCAATGTTGGTTTTTTGTTGTTGTTGTTTGTTGGTTTTAATTTTTGTGTTTTTATTGAATTAATGATTGTTTTTAATATAGCGGAAATATATTTTAAAATCCACAAAAACATCGACTAATCTTTCAGGACTTTTAGTGTTACAGCAATGTTTTTTATTCAGAAAATATCGATAATGGCCATGGTATTATCTTAGTTTAAGCAGAATGAGTCTTGTTGCTACTTTGATGTCTTAAAGATTATTTTTCCCAAAACTTTCTTAGTCTCTGGCATTATCACCACCAGTTGATGAACTTACTTTAATACTGATAATTTCAACCAGTCAGCAGCATTAACACCCTCCGAAAAAGTTTTATGTCTTCTCCACTTTCTTTCTTCCTATTAGAATAGCTTTATCCCATGAATCTAACGTTAAGTATTGCATTAATTATATCTCAGATCTCTAAACATTGTAAGTCCACGCATTGGCTTGTTGCCAGAATTCATTGCAACTCTGAGGTAAATAGAACTATGATCCCACCATTACCACTGTAGTCTCCCCATCCATTTCAGCTATTTTAATCCGTCACAAAAGAAGTAGTAGTAGTAGTAGTAGTAGTGGTAGTAGTGGTAGTAGTAGTAGTAGTGGTAGTAGTGGTAGTAGTAGTAGTAGTAGTAGTAGTAGTAGTAGTAGTAGTAGTGGTAGTAGTAGTAGTAGTAGTAAGTAAGTAGTAGTAGTAGTTGTAGAAGCAGCAGCAGTAGTAGTAGTAGTTTCATCATTGTCCAACATCATGATCCTTGTTAACACCATTTACACAACCGCAACTACTGCTTGATGAAACAAAAATACTCTAATAATGTTATTCTTTGCAGATTAACAAAGACCACTATTTACAATAGATGTTCAGTAAACCTATTATGTTTTTTTATCCAACAGAAAATGTATCCTCTCAGTCGAGCTGTGAAGATGGTGTGCCTTTCAAAGACGAGAGTAGCTTATACGCCACCTCGTCCTTTAGAACTTCTGCAGAGGGTTAGAAGTTCAACACCCATCCCATCTGATGAGACAGAACCAGATGACAGCACTTTGAATGACAATCTAATGATCTCGCCTTATTAGATGGGGCAGCTACTGTTCAAGAACCAGTGCAGGCTGTAGATGGTACTATCCAACAAGAGGTAGATGAAAACACAGACATTATGGATTTGGATAAGCAAGGGTGCAATGACACAAGTTGTGGACAACAATTTGAATGGGAATCAGCCGATCACATTATTGAAGAAGACGAAGAGGAAAACTTTGAAACGGAAAGAAACTTTGAAGGAGACACATCTTCGAGTAGACCAATAGCTAAGTACCAAGAAGCAACAGGGTAACGCCGTGAATCCAAAGCTGTTGATGGGCAAACAGATAAGGCAGTAGTAGAGCAACCACTCCGTTATTCCTCATCAAATACTGATCATTCATTGCTGGATGCAGTTGTCAGGGATAAAAAAATAAGTGGAGGCTGTGGGTGATATTACCGACAGCATACCACAAGAACTGGAAGAACCTGCTCACATTATGGACTTGGATGATACTGATAGAGACAACCAGGACACAAGTGATTCCAACGCTGTATATGAAAAAGCCATCGGAGACGTGGCTGGAGGAGAACGGCACGTTCATGAACGCTCTTATAATGTAAACAACACTGTGGCTCAAGAAAAGGCAGATGAGATCACCCTAAGGCAAAACAAAATGAAGGTGGCTAAAGACAATTGGAAGAAAAATATCAACAAACATAAAAGAAGTAAAGGGGAAGCCTATTTAGGAAGAAAATATGAGAAAGGTGGCTCAAAATACACGTTTTCTGAGAAGCCAACAAAGCTGTTAGGAGAAAGATGCAACTGCAAGACTGCTGGGGTTAAATGCAGTGATGTAACCAATGAAACCAGATAGAACATATACAAAGAGGCGTGGGCAATGCCTTGGCCTCAAAGAAATGCTCTGGTGAAATCGTTGGTTCACATGGTTCCCGTTGGTAGACATCGTGAGGAGCTATCAGACTCCAGTAGGAGTAACACCTAGAGGTATCATCGCAATGTTGGTAGTGGACTAGTTCCAGGATGCAAAAAGATGTTCCCTAATACCACTGGGATTACTCATCTCATGATTAGAGCTCAAGTTTGTTAAGCTCACAACACAGAAACCCAGCAGCAGCCCAAAACTCAGGAATGGCAATAAGTCCCATTATTGCCGGAAATCCTTTTCAAAACGCTACATCGAGCCGATGTTTAACAGCAAGGCAGAGGTGCACCAAGAGTATACTAGATGGTGTGCAGATAACACCATCATCTAGGCAGGTCTTTGTTAGCCAGTTTGAATCTGGCAATTACGCCCTTTTTCAGCAGAGAAAAGAACAGTGTGGTCTGTGCATCTCCTGCAGTGAGGGTGATGTGGACGAGGAAGCGTATGTCCTGCATCGGCAGAAAAAGGAGCAGACACAAAAGTCTAAAGGAAATAATAATAATAATTATTATTGCATTGATATAACGTATATCCATGCTCCAGAGCATGCTCTATACACTTTACAACTATTATTACCCAAGCAAACCCTCTAAGAGCACTCAGAAACGTTCTCAGCTTCCGTGGAAGCATACAGTGCAAGCTGCGGATTTCACAAGCTCAAACTCTATCAAACTGACAAGATCGTTCACTGTCTATAGCCGGGTACCCATTTCCACCTGGGTGCAGGCCCCTGACTGGATTCGAACCCACGACCTTACGGTTGCGAGTCCGAGAGCCTAACCACTTGGCCTCCAACGAGATGACAAAAAGAGGGCACTCGCAAGTAAAGCCAGGGTAAAAATGCTGACAATGGATCTCCAATCAGTCCTAGGCATCCGCACTTTACTACAAGACGAAGCTTTTTGTAAATAACTACACAATTTACGATACCACTACAAAGGAAGTCACCTGCTATGTGTGACATGAGGATGGAGAAGGCCTAAAAGCTAATGAATTTGCCTCATGTCTCTGCCACCATCTCAGCCAGGACCAAACTTTTTTTGGACGGCTGCCCATGCCAAAATGCATGTAGAGACGTCACACTGTCTAAGGCAATAACCTTAACTGCGCAAAGAAACAACATCAAAGTAACTCTCAAGTTGCTAGGGAAAGGGCATACCCAGATGGAAGTAGATAGCGTGCCTCACACCATTGAGAGAAAATTGAAAACTATGTTAATATATAGTCCGTCTGACTACGTCAGGTACGTGACAGAGGCGACTCACACCTTCTTTAAGGATTACACAGATGTTTGCCCCTTGAAAAGCATTTGGCTCAGAAAGAAAGCAGGCGAACCCCAAGTTGTAGACATCGGATGTCTTCAGTACACACCGGGTGGCCGGATCAGCTACAAGCTTGACCACGACGCAGAGTGGCAAGAGCTTACTGTGAGAGGAAACTCCACTCTCATAGAGAATGACCCAAAACGCCTACTGACAAACAAAAGGAAGATTTCATCCTCCAAGTACAAAGACCTCCGAGAGCTGAAACATCCCTCAGGATTTCCATGCTTTTTATGATGCCTTGCCTCACGAATAATGCTTTGCAATAGGACTTTCACATCATTTTTTTCCCAACAAAAAGTCCTTTTTGTGGTACATATTACTAATTAGCCACTATCACTAATTGATTGTTTTCTTGGTACTGCATTCTTTTTATATTTGACTATGGATTTCATTTTGCAACTATCTGTAATTTAATGTTAAGGAATGTCATTAGCCATGAAAACCCTTTGACATTTTAGTTATTCACGATATTATGAATTGACTTATTCTTTCTTAATACATTTGCAATCACTCTTAGTCGTTTACTTTAAATCAATGTTCTTTTCATCATATTTCCTGTTAAAATAATGTTGCATTTTTCTGCTTTCCTTCACCCTTTAAATTCATAAAGTTAGTTGCATTGATGTATGTGCGACACCAGATGTAGATCTATGTTTCCAATATTTTAAACATTTTCCATAAACATGGTTGTAATAATTTCACATGAGAATTTAACAGGAAAAACGTGAGTTTTTGTTTGTTTCTTTTAAAATCATATCACGTGTTTGTCTGCACTTGATTCCACCAACATTTTATAATTATATTTTGCACATAACTCTTCTGTGGTCCTACGACGCTAAAATGGTATCAAAACTCAACAAGAGACCATTATATCCACTGGTAAACCTGAGAACGAGAAACGGTCGAGCGCCAAGTTAACCACACAGTGTTGCGGGAGATAAACGTGCAAGCCTCTAACCGTGTAACCGCCGGTTACATTTGCTCTTAAGCGTGCTGGACGCTAACCGTTTCTGGCGCTAAGCGTGCAACTGCGGACAAATTTTTATGCGCTAATCGTGCATACGCCTTAATTAATTAGTTTTTTAAACTATCGACTCGAATTTATGTTGACACTATCAGTCAGTATAAAAATATAAACATTTCAGCAATAATCATTAATTGGTAGATAGTAAGAGAATTTTAAAAAGTTTTTTTCGTTTTTCTCAAAATGAACTCTCGTGCACTTACACGGTTAGAGTCGGACATCGACAATATGAAATATCGAGGAATTGTTTGTCTGAGTTTATGGTTGGTGTTATTGATTTTAGAAATAGCTGGAAGAGAGACGCTATTTTAGATTTCAAAACTTTTACTTTATGTCTAGTTTATGTAATTATTGAACTTTTTTTGTATTGAACACTTTGCCTTGTTGTTGTGGAGACAAAATGTGTGGAAATGACAGTGTCAAGTAATGTTTGTATTTTGTGAATCCGTTGTACGATATTTATAGTTGATGAATCTATGAACCCCTTCACACCATGTGTTGGTACTGTGTATCACTAGTTGATAAATCTATTAACCGTTTGTCAGTTGTTGATGAATTGATAAACCCCTTCATGTCTATTAACAGCTTCATGCTGTGTGTCTGTGCCATACATCTGTAGTTGATGAATCAATGAACCCGTATCTGTGCTGTGTGTCAGTAAATGATGAATCTGTTAACCCTTTAGTGGGTGGTTGGAGGGTGCCACTGGCAGACCCTACTTCTTTTCTTTCCTTCTGTTTGTTTGTTTTTTAATGTATACCTGTATTACTTTTTCTTAGCACTGTTATCGTGTCAATGTGTTTTACTCAAACAAACAAAACCATGTAAACCTCTTCCTACCATGTGTTGTGATACCACATGTCAAAAGCTGATGCAACTGTTAATCCCCTCATACCATGTGTCTCTGCTGTATATCCCACAGAATGACCTAGTAGTGGACACAAGCCTGGTGGGTATTGTCCTGAACGGTCTGTCTCACCTCCACCATGTCCTCTGCAAAGCCCACTTTGCCGTCTGTCTCATACATGGACTTGGGGGAAATCTCAGTGAGGGATCTCGTGAAGTCTTTGCGAAGGAGGTCAGTAAATGATTTGTTTTGTTGGTGGAGAGTTTGTGATTGGGGTGGGGGGGGGGGGGGGGGGTTATTGTTGTTGTTTCTAGGGCTGGGAGGGTAGGGAGTGGTTAACACGAGTTCTGTCCCTTTTTTTATACATTTTTGTACGAGATGTTTGGGATTGAAGTTAATTCAAAGCAAAAGTATGCATGTTAAAGATAATACCTGAATTTCATTGTGAAATGTTTCTCTGAGATTGTAAAAATGCTCCAAACACAAACGAACTAATCATGTTATTGTTTATCTTCTTGTCTTTTGGTCTGCCTTCTTTGTTCTTCTTTATGTGGAAGGCAGCGTAAAAATCTTTTACAATTATCTACAATCAACTATTAGTCAAAAACAGGTGGTTGGAGTGCACCACTGGTAGATCTTTTTATTTATTCTCTTATGGTTCGGTCAGTCTGTCTTAACTCCCAACTGTAGTCAGAATATCATTATTAGTGTATTTTTGTTAGAATTTTGCCTGGTAGGTCCTTCCTGTTTCTTTTTACTTTAGTCCACTACTTTACTTTTTCTTTTTCATATATTTTTAACTCTGAAAGGTCTTCTTTGTGGATAGATGGGGAGCCTCTTTGGTAGGTCCTACTTTCTTTTCTTTCCCTCTGTTGTTTCTGTCAGTCCGTCTTACTTATTCCCTGTTCTAAAGGACCAAATTTGTGTTGATGTGTTTCTTTGAACTCAAAGAAACAAAACTGCTGTTCCCTTATGCGTATCATCCTCTCACTCAAATGACTCATCCATAACAGGTGTTTTCCTGGACCAATGAGACGCCCCCAGACTCTCGGCGGCCACTGGACACCTACTACGATGATCGATCGGGTAGACTGATGCAGTACAACATGGAGGTATGGTAGCCTGTTAGTGACAATAAAGTCTTTCTCTCTTTCTGTAGGTCTGTGATCTTTATTGTGTGTGATCTTTAACTTTATGATTAATACTTGCTCCGTCTCTTCTCAGGAGTGTCCGAATGTGTACTATCTGTACATGTTCTCTTTTTGCACACACACATATATGATTATATGGACTATCTGCTGTAATGTGTGTATATCGAGATCAGTAACATAATGAGTATGTGTACTGTCTGCTTTACTGTGCGTAGGTCAAAGTCATAAACACCATCCCACCAGGTATAAAAATTTGCTATTTTCAATGTAGGTGGTGGGAGGGCACCACTCCTAAGTCCTACTCCTGTGCTATCCCTCTCTTTTCTCTGTCTGCCTGTGTGGCTCACTTTTTCCCAGCACTAGATGTCTGCAGCTGCGTCGATGTGCTTGTCTCCACTTCAACCATTTTGAACTCTCTCAGCTGTTGTATATGAGATCACTGGGCACAAGTTGGGTCTTTCAAGTGTTAAACAATGATAGTTGGTGGCTGTCCTGGTGAGGTCTACTCCTTCTGTTCTTTTCAGCCTATCTGTTTTTTAAATCTGTTTTTGATAGAATTTCTATGTTCTTGTGTTCACTTATCGTAAACTACTTTTGGGATCTGTTCCTGGTAAAATGACTCCATTATTTTACTGACTTGTGTGAGATACCACCTCACTCATTTACTCACTAACCATGTATTGACCGTGCTCGTATGATCTTATGCAGTTGCAAGCACCATAAAACTCTAACTAAACTTACTAAAACATATTGACCTCATGGATGGGTGTCTGGTGCTCTGGTGTGGTTTGCTCTTTCTTTCCTGTCAACTGTATATCATACTTATCTCTTCTCCTTCTTTTCTTTGTATGTTACTCATTAGTAACACCTGTAATCTCAGGTAAGACCTTTTTGTTTGCAAGTGCCATAAAACTTTTACCAAAACTAAAACATTCGACCCATGAAAAACAAATTGTGTCAAGTACCATTACAATTGATTTTAGATGATAGCAATTGAAAATTTGGGCATTTGGTAATTTGTAATATAATCCCTCTTTTTAATTTTTTCCTTCTTGTTGTTTTTGTCAGATGTATCATTAAAAGTTGTATAATTCTGTGCTGTAATAATTTATCATACTTCAGTTTGTTTGTTTTTCCCTGGAATGTGCCTTGAGACAATTTTGCTTTCAAGGGTCAATATGTGTTTCGTCAATATTTCTGTCTTGTGGACTGTGTAGCAAGTCCTGGAGAACTGACATACATGGCACTGTTTTCAGGTGGAGGCTGTTATTGGAGGGGTACGTTTGGCACATATATTATACATACATATGAGATAATTGGCTTATAGATGACATACAAGATCATGCCCATATTTTATTGCATATAGTGCCCAATATACGATTAGAACTATTTCTTACTCATAATAATAATATCTATATTTAGAGTCCTGCTCAGCCCATAGAGTCAGCTTAGGATTGTTTTTCTTCTAACTATAAAACTTTTGAACCGATTTTGCCCATGCTCTGCCACATTATTAATTTCATAAATCTGTTACTGAGTCGTCTCTGCCTTTTCTCTTCTTTTTCGTAAGAGACCATCTTTTGACTTTTAATCATCATTTGGCTGTCTTTTGACCGTCCACCATCTCTTTCTGCTTTCCGTCTGCTCTGTCTACAGTTTTCCTGTGTCTGCAACATCCATGCAAAAGAAACATGGAGATTGGATTAAGGGATCTTGCTACTGACAAAAACTATTTTTGTTATTAATACATCTTTTCAAACCAAACTTTCACATAATATGTAGTACCCTCCAGGAAATAATTCAAAATGTTATGTAATACCAGCAGCCATATTGAAATTATATAATACTTAGAAAAATCTTAGAATTTTAAAAACCAAATGGCACAACGTAATTTTTTTTTACTAATATCAATTTAGTAGAAGTAGTTATAGGTAAATTACTCATATTTTTAAATATCCTTCCAATACTTTGGAATTTCTAGGACTTTAAAAGTGAGGTACTTTTTTTGGTTGAAATTTTTAGCATAAAATGGCTTTCAAAAGCAGATTTCTCAAGCATTAACTATTTTTTTCCCCAAAAAATCTTGTCAGTGACCTGTAACAACCAAATCTGCACCTGTATGAAAAGTTTCAGCACAGTATCTTGATTAGTAGCTGAGAATTTAGGACTCTAGTGAAATAGGGTCTTTCAGACGTAAAATTTTGAGAAAAACGCATATAAAAATGTCACTGTGTAATTTGAGGGCTAGTTCCTTCCAGAGGTTCCAGTACCACATGCACTATTTGTTCTAATCACCTGCAAAATTTTATGTCTGTATAGTTACAAATAGCCTCACAACTAGAAGGTTAGTGAACCAAGTAGGCACAAAATGTAACAAAGAGAGAAGAAAAATGGCCAAACGGTCAAGGGGGGGGGGCGGTCGTTTGAGACATATTTTCACCTAATTTATCAATTTTTAAAAAATTACTGGACCAAAAAATCTGATTCAGCAATGATCAAAGGTGTTAAAAAGCTATTTCTTCAAAAATTGTCAAAAATCGTTACCTGCAAGACCCCTTAAGCTGTTTGTGTTGATATTTTTTGTCATCTGGTAGTCCTTGTGAAAGCTGAACATTGCGCTTTCATAAAAAGGGTTGTCTTTTTTAAGAACTTTTTAGATAACAGTTAGAAAGATAAAATAGACACTTTTGATTCTGGCTCTAACAGATAGTTTCCTCTTATAGACTAAATGTAGCGCTCAGATAAATGTCTTTTGTAGAACTTGTATCAGTGTCTTCATAAAGATGCACAGAGACCAAGAGAAAAAACAGGGACAGAACCAAACAGACAGATACTGACAGACCAAGACAGACTGAGAGATAGAATCAGAGATGGAGAGTGGTACCGTTAAGATGAAGAGAGAGACAGATACACTGAGACTGAAACTAAGATAGAAAGAGGCTGAAACTGAGATGAAGCAAGAGACAAAAAGAGAGAAAGAGAGAGTGAGAGAGAGAGAGATATTGAGAGAGAGACACAGACTGAAGAATCATTATATTCTTTATACTGTAGCCAGTTCAGATCGTTTGATCTGAGACTAGACTGGTGTAGAGAAATTTTGAGAGTGAAAGAGAGAGATAGGTAGAGAGAGAGAGAGAGAGACAGAGAGAAAGAGAGAGAGAGAGAATGTTAGATCTCTGTAGTATCTTTGAATACTTCTAGTACCATATATTTTTTTATGCTTTTGTGTAGTGGACTGAGATTTTATGTTGTAATAGTTGGGGGGAGGGGGGTTGTTAAGGTTAACAATATTTTCATCTGGTCCATTTTTCTGAAACTATATACATAAATTTTTTCTATACTTACTTGTCACTGCTAATATACATGTATTTATACCTTTTGTGTCCTTTTATGTGCTCTTGTGCAAGAGTGCTGCTTGTATTTTAATGACATTAGGCTACTATTAGTGTCTTTAACGCATTTAGTAATGAAAATTATAGAAAAATGCTTTAATTCCATGTATTCTTAAATTTGGTAGTTACAATGAAACTTGCTCTTTGAAAACTGTGAGTGCTAAATGCACATTTTTCACATGAGGAACATCACTATTGTTACGCGTTTGTATATAATTTCAGAATCAGAGGTGTCAGAATTTGTTGCTTACAGAAATTGCACATTTTGCTTCTTCCATAAGATTTACTGGACTAAAATTCATCACAATCAGGAAGAATTTCTGAAGAAATTGAATCAGTTGCCACGTTGATATTGACACAAACTATAAAGAGATAAAGAGGACTGACTGAATAAATGGCGTGCTTTATTATTAGCAAAGCTTCTAAAATAAAAATATGATCTTCTGAATCTTGAACAAAGATAATATGTGATTCTTTTATTTTCTTGGGTGGTTAAAGGGTGCCACTGGTGGGTCTTGCTTCTTTACTATCCTTTTGTTGTTCCAGTCTGTCTGTCTGTCTTACTTTTTTTTTTTGCATGGTTGATGGGTGCTCTGGTGATGTTTGTTCCTTCTTTCCAATCAAATATCTATTATCCTTATCACTCTTCCTTCTTTTCTTTGTATGTTACTTTCTAGTCATCATCATCATCATCATCATCATCCTCATCATCATCCAAAGCCAGATCTGCTGCAGACATTGGCGATCATGGTTCTTCTTTCATTCCTTTTCTCGGATGCTCTTAATAAAGCTGCTTTTCCCTGATCTTTCTCCATCACCCTTTTGTTTAGGTTCCCTAAGTAGGTTGCTCTGGGCCTACCCCTGCCTCGTTTGCCTTCAATTTTGCCAGTGAAAGCTAGATGTTCAAGACCTTTATGTCTATTCAGGTGTCCCAAAAACTGCATTTGTTGTTTTCTGATTGTTTTTAATAGTTAGTGTCCCACACGGGTTGATTGTTTTTAACAGTTAGCATCCCACACGGGCTTCATCAAGCGCTACCTCATTTGATTTTTTTCCTTCCCTGATATTCTCAGCAGTCTCCTAAGAAACCACATTTCTGCTGCCTCCATTTTGTTTTCACTGTCTTTAGTGATTATCCAGCATTCACAGCCATACAGAAGGGTTAACCATACATAGTATTTCAGAACTTTCACTTTGGTAGTCATTGAGATATTTCTTACTGTCTTGTAACACCTTAACTGTGAGCGCTTATATGACCAATTTGTATTGCAAGTATCGTAAAAGCAGGCGATGTCCTCCAGTTTGGCAAGCACTGCTGTAAGCACAACATGTAACTTTTGTGATGCTTTAAGTATAGACTTGTAGTTGCCTGACTTTGATGTGTAACCCCTTTGTCCTGGTGTCTGGGCAGACTGTGGAAGACTTGAAAGCAGAACATTTCATGTCGTCCATGTCACTGCCGGTCATCCGCACCGGGGATGTCCAACGGGCACTGGACTACTTCCTGCCCTGGCTGGACGCTGACAACAAACAACCCTTCATCATCTGTGGGCCGGAGGGGTGTGGCAAAGGGTGAGTCACATGCATATTGTTTGCTTCCTAGTCTAGAGGCAAGGGGTGAGTCACACATATATTGTTTGCTTCCTAGTCTAGAGGCAAGGGGTGAGTCACACATATATTGTTTGCTTCCTAGTCTAGAGGCAAGGGGTGAGTCACACATAT